CCTTACCACACCACCTGGACCCCCTCCCACCTGACTACCCTTACCATACACCAGGACCCTCTATCATTTGCCTGCTCCCTTTACCACACACCTGAGTTCCCTCATGCCTACCTACCACCTTACCACACACCTGGGCCTGTTCCCACCTGCCTGACCATTTACCACACACCTGGTACCTTGAGGCCTTTCAAGCTCATCAACCTGCCTACCCCCACCTGGGCTACCTCCTACACACCTGGGCACTTTCGTGTCCCCTCACTCACCCACTTGGGCTACGTCTCTCTTGCTCATATAGCAGCACCCCCTCACACTCATCCACCTAGACACCTATACCCGGACTCCCTGTACACGTCTGGATACCCACAGGCATTTTTAATCACCTACCTGGCTGCCCTACCACACCCGGTGCACGCTCATCCTCTCACCACCTCTGGCCCACACACTTGTCCAGACTCTCTCTCTCTTGTCTACCAACCTACACACCCAAAGCTGGACACCCACCCCTTTATCCATGGACTCTCAGGTACCAGCATGCTCTCTTACACACACCTTTACTTCCCTGCACCTGGGCCCCTCCCACCCAAAGGCTGGGCTGCCACACACCTTGCTGCCCAGGCTCCTCCCTCTTCCTCTCACACACTGGTACACCTGAGTACCCACGCACCTGTGGGCCCCTCAACCATCCTTCCCCACACCCGGGCCTACTTCCCAACCAGCCACCAGGCACCTGTGTGTGTTACAGGCCCCCGACCGTGCACCCACCCTCACCCCAAGGTAGACCTAAGCCCACCCAGGTCATGGGGCAGCTCAGATCCACACCAACTTCTCAGCAACCGTCCTGCCCCACCCCACCCCACCCCCAGGGCCCTGAGTTGGTTACCAGCCCCGCCCCTGACCCTGACCCTGACCTGTCGAAACTTGGCCCGAGCCTCCTTCTCCTTCATGCGGCCATGGGACACGAGGTAGTCAAACACTTCGCCTACAGGACAGAGGCCCAGTGGGTCAGGGTCTGCCCGGCGCTGCGCAGGGGGCTGGGTGGGGAGGGGGGACAGGGAGGGACGGGCCTTCAGGGATGGGTGGGGGGCTCACCTGCACTTGCATATTCCATCACCAGGTACAGCGTCTTCTCCGTCTCAATCACTTCAAAGAGCTTCACTGCAATCAGTGGGCTGGGGGTTAAGTGGGAAGAGCTCGCCGCCCTCTGCCCACCATCCAAGCACGGCACCTCCCGCCCTCAAGAAACCTTGACCGGCTCCCGGCGGGTGGCCGGATTTTCCAGAAGCCTCACTTTGCTACATTCTTTCACTGGATACATGTCAGCCCTGTCAGGTCCAGTTAGCTGTGCGGGAGGCTCCCAGCACTTCGTCTCCACTCTCTAAAGACTTACTGAGTAAGCGAGTGAAGGAGGAGCCCTGGTGGCATGCTGGGTTAAGTGTGGGGCTGCGAACCACAAGGCTAGTGGTTCAAACCTATCGGCTGCTCCACTGGAGAAAGATGAGGTGGCTTCTCCCGTCAAGATGTACACCCCTAGGGAGCAGTTCTGCTCTGTCCTATAGGGTCGCTAGGAGTGAGAATCTGATAGCATAGTGCTGTGTGGTGCAAGGTCTACTCTGAGCCTTACCATGGCCTTGAAGTAGGCCTTTTATCTCCAGACGGGCTCAGAGAGGGTCGGTGAATGACTTCCACAAGGTCACACAGCCAGTAAACAGAGGCATCCTTCTGAGAAACCAGGGCCTCCCTTTATGCTAAGCACCAGGGCTGTAGCTGCCCCGGACTCTCCTTTCTCTGAGAACTCGGCTGCTGCTCTACCTTTGCGGTCACCCCGTCCCCCTCCTCACCGATGTTGGGGTGGTTTAAGCCCTTCATGATTCGGACTTCTCGGAACAGCTGTGTGTGGCCGGAACAACAGGAGGCAAAGGAAAAAAGGTTGAGGGTGGATAGTTTTTTTTTTTTTGGGGGGGGGTCCTCCGCCCTCCTACTCACACCCCTGGGCACTGACATACCCACCTGGGCCCCTCCCACCTTCTTACATACACCCACACACCTTTCTACTCACCCACCTGCCCGCCCTCTTATCTACACACCTGGGCCTGATTCAGGAGGGCTGGAGGGGTTGGGCGGGGGCCCCCTTCCCCCCTCTCCCTGGGCCTCACCTTCTGCAGGCTGCTGGGGTTCAGCTGGGTTTTGTCGATGATCTTGATGGCAACCTGGAAGCGGAGAGAGGGCCAAGCAGCTCAGACAACCGGGGGCTGTCCATCCATTGCCCCCCACTCTCTCTCTCATCGAGCCCTCCATCAGAACTTTAGAGATGGGCGGGGGCCGGGGGGGCGAGGTGGTTCCCTGCCTCTGAAGCTGTTCCCAGATATTCCACATGCTGTTTCCTGTCATGTCTAAGGTGACCAGACGTCCCGCTTTTGGTGGGACAGTCATGATTTTAAACAATTTGTCCTGCGTCCCGCGGCGTTTTTAAAAAGTCCCGGTTATTGGAAAGAATGCACAACAAGCTAGGGTATACGGTTTTCGGCTGCCATGTGGCTATTTCACCAGGATAGGAGTTGTATCAATGGTGTCCCGCTTTACCAATGTTAAAATCTGGTCACCTTAGCCATGTCGCATGTGGCTTCCTGCCTCCATTGCTGCTGCCTGCTTTTCCCTGCCTCTGCGGCTGCTCCATATTGCTCTCCATCAGTGGTGCTCAATCTTCCCAATGCCTCGACCCTTTCATACAGTTCTTCATGTGGTGGTGATGCCCCAACCATAGAGTTATTTTCTTTGCTACTTCATCGCTGTCATTTTGCTACTGTTATGAATCGGGAGGCCCCTGTGAAAGGGTCATTTGACCCCCATAGGAGTCACGACCCACAGGTTGAGAACCACTGCTCTACATGCTGTTCCCTGCTGCTCTTCACACTGTTCCCTGCCTCTGTGGCTGCTCGCTATTGTTCTACCTGTTGTTCCATCTCTGCTGCTGTTCCCTGCTAATCTGCACGCGAGGTTCTCTGTCTCTGCAGCTGCTTGCCCTTCTGCAGGGAAACGGCCCCTCTCTCACAGCATCTTATTTGTTCTTTGTGCTTGAACGGCCACTGCCATCAAGTCAAATGGGATTCGCAGCCACCCTGTGGGACAGGATCGAGCTGCCCCTGTGGGTTTCTGAGGACGTCAAAGACTGCCTCATCTTTCTTCCTCGGAGTAGCCAGTGGTTTCGAACTGCTGACCTTGCGGTTAGCAGCCCAATACATAACGCACTACGGCAGTGGGGCGCCTTCAAAAGAAGCTCCCGCAGCCACCCCATTTCAGAATCCTTCCCCGCTGGGGTACAGGATTCTCTGAACAGCTGGATCCGCTCAGAAACCCCTAGAAGCGTGCACAAAACCCCACATATGGGAAGCAGCATAGTCTGCTGGGGGCGCGGGGTCCCTTCGCGCCTTCTGCAGTCTCACGAACAGGTTTTTAACTTTGTCACGCGCTTCCCACGCCAGAACCGAGACGATCAGATGGCTCCTCTCCCTGAATCTGCGAACGTGGTAAAGCGCATGGATAAATTGGCAGCGGGGAGGGAACTCTGCATTCCTGGGAGAAGCCCACCCTGTCCGTCCCCATGCGGCTCTCTCCTGCTGAAGCCTGGCCATGTGTCCCTGCCTCTTTCCGTTCGGGAGTAAGATGGGGGGCCGATCTAATCTGGTTCCTCGTCTGGTCCCGCAGCCTCTGGTCAACCCGCCACGTCAGAGGTGTGGGGCGGCCGAGCCTCCTCCTTTAGGGTCTGGGGAAGAGTTAGCGTTGGAGCTGAATGCTTGGTAGGAATTGCCCGTGAAACCATCAGGGCCGGGTGTCTTTTGTGTGTAAGGGTGGAGGACGACAGGGGAGCGAGGGAGAGCCCATTGAAAAGCAGGCTTAGTGAATGAACTAATTCGATAAAACGGACAGGACAAGTTGTTCGGGTCACTTGCTCTGACGCTGCAGGAGGAAGCATGCCGCCGCCCACCATCTTTGGGTCACCTGAAATGCGAGGTAAGAGACATCACCACTAGTGACATGGTCTGCTCCGGCTCTTTCGGTAATGCGGCCCACAGTGGAAGGGGAGGTTGGGGCAGTCAGGGTGTACCTGAGAACACAATGGCTCACTACCACCCAGCTGTTTTCAATTTCTAGCCACCCTACAGGACTGAGCAGGATTGCTTCAGTGGCCGCCCAAGGCTCTAAATCTTTACGGGACAGAAAGCCTCATCTTTCTCCCTCGGAGCGGCTGGTGGGCTCGAACCGCTGGCCTGGTGGTTCGCAGCCCAATGCATAACCCACTACGCCTTGCAATTGAGACATCAATGCTGATAAAGCTGGTGTGTTCTCATCACCATAGCGCCAACAGCCGGTGGAACGAAGGGGGCTCTCGGTAGGTAACACAGGGAGGTGGCCCAGCCACGTGAATTCTTAGAAACAGAGTGCACGGCTCAGCAGAACTTTCCAAACACACTGGGGGATGGCCGCAGTGGGGTCCCTTCTCCGATGAGGGTTGCGAGGTCCCTGAGGTCCCCCAGCGGAAGTCCAGACGCCAGGCAATGAGTGACGCAGGCCAGCCCCACTCACCTCCCGGCCGGTGAGAATGTGTCTCGCCAGCTTGACTTTGGCAAAGTTGCCCTTCCCGATGGTTCTCAGCAAGCGGTAGTTGCCCACGTGAGGCTGCTCCTCCGGGCAGGAGGCGATGGAGTTACGGCAGCGGGCACCCAGGGAGCGGCTGGACCAAGATGGCCCTTTGTCTGAGGAGCGGCCACTGCCCAAGGTGCCATGCTGTGGGGAGTGGGGAGAACACATGTAAGCAGGGCCGGCTGGGCAGCCAGCTCCAGCCCTGGGCGCTGGCTCCCGAGCCTGGAGAATCGCGAGGGCAGGCCCTGAACCGCTGCACACGGTGCCTCCCAAGCAGAAATATCGGGCCCCCGATGCCGCAGCTGCTTAGCCCTCGCTCAGCTGGCCTGCTCCCAACCCCCTGCTCTCCACACTGGTCCCTTCATCCACACCACCGCACTCTCCCAGGGGATGCAGCTCTCCCCAGGGGCCTCAATCTGGACTCAACTCCACCCCCACCCCCACCTGTCCCCACAATCCATCCCCACCAACACCTGTCCCAACACTCCATCCCAACTACCACCTGTCCCTAAACTCCATCCC